TCCGCCTCGTCTCCCGTCGCCATGCACCCCCAAGGGACGGGACAAAGCTTGGGCGGGGCGGGTGATCATCGTGATCGCTCACCGCTGGGCGGGGGTGGGCGGGGGTGCACTGGTGATTGGGGAGACGGGGCCAGGTGGATGCGGATCGACGGGCGGGTGGCCTGTAAGGTATTCGTCAATGGACGTGAGCCCAACCTGCACGACTTCAAGGTCAACGTCTCATTCGACGAGCTGGCGAGGAGGATCTCGGCGACTCCACTCGGCGACGAGCATATGAATCTAGTCTGCCAGTTCGAGAAGCGCCCGTGCAAGGGACCTCCTGCCATCGCCGAGGGGGACGTTGACGTTGGCGGCGATGGCGACGCTATGGCGCATGCTGGAGCGCATGGGGTCCCAGATGGACATGTCGATCCTGATGTTGAAGCTGCAGCTCCTGGTGCCGACGAGGCAGCTGCTATGATTCTTGATGCGGCTGACCATGTGGACGATGGTCTGGCTGCCGACCTGGAGGACATCATCGACAAAGCAGCCGCCGACGAGGCTGACAAGAAGGAGCGTGAGGTTGTGAAGCACTTGTTGGACGCAGCGGCAGTGGACCCAGAGGCCTTGCCAGATGGCGCGGCCGAGGATGGAGAAGAAGCAGAACGTGATATGATACTAGATGCAGCTCTCGAGGAAATGGCTGGCGACATCGAGGACGTCGAGGGGTGGCGAGAGGCATTCGAGAAGTGGTTGCCGACCGCTAAACACATGATGGAGGTCTTGCTTTGGGCGGAGGATGCGACCAAGATGCACCCTGTCGGCCACGGCGGCGAGCTCTCCCTCATTCTCGCTACCCCGAAGGAGAAAGGTGAGGATGAGCCAGTCGTAGTGCACCCAACTTTGGTTCATTGGTACGAGGGCGGGCACGAGCGTCGCGGCAGCGTGGTCAACTTGGACAAGCTGAACAGGGCAATTTGGCCACTGCCCCTGAACAGGCCTAGATGTTTCAAGGGCTGCAGAATCCTGATGTCTGCTGTGGGCACGTGCGCAGAGAAAGACAAGTCAAAAGGCAGGCCCCTCGTTGACGCTCGCCTGCTTCGGCTGATCGATATGTGGAGGCTTGCTACTGTCCTGCCAGTTGCAACGGACTGTAACCTATGCAAGCAATTCGAGTGCTCGGGCCACGAGCCTCACGTGTGCTCGATCTGCCAACTCAGCTGGCACGTCGCCTGTGCGACCAAGATGGTCGCGTTGGCTAACCGTGACGGACTGCTCAGAGAGCACGCCCAGGTCAGCTGTTCAATACCTGGGGAGTTCACGGTATGCTTCTTGTGCGAATCACTTTCGTCGTTGGCATGAACTGCAGAGCCACATACTTGACTGTCGCAAGCCTGGCAATGGCCGCACGCCGCATGGCGGAGGTCAACAACATATCAACAAACAAACAGCACATCGACACAATAAGCGTTAACATCCTCCGCATCGTCCCTCCTCCGCCTCCTCTTTCTCGCCATCCTGCTCCTGCTCCTGCTCCCGCTCCTCCTACTGCCCTACTCCTCTCCCTCCTCCTCCTCCTCCGACTTCTCCTCTTCCTCTTCCTCCTCCTCCTCCTCCTCCTCCTCGTCCTCCTCCTCAGACCCCTCATCTGGCAGAGGAGGGAACCCCATGGGGCCCATGGGAGAGGGAGCCATGGGAAGAGCCCTCGAGTCCTCTGCCCCGACCCGCTGCCTCAGTGCCACAGTGGGGCACGCGGGCCACGCTGATTATGAAAGAGGATCGGGTAGTTCATAATGGTGAGCCCTGGTTGGGCATTAACAAAAAAACATGAAAGGGGACTGACGTCGCGGTACTATTTTTGTGTGAGGCCCATCATACTGAAGTCAAATATCAACGGGAATCGTTATGAACCAGCTAACAAAACATCAACGTTCGCACGCGTCCATTATGAACAACGTCTCAAAACATAGCGTGCATAGTGAGCCGCATCATACTTCAAACGATCATTTGTGAGGCTGCGCATAACCAGCACCATGAGTATTATGATGACCATCATAACATACCCATTGCCAGAATGACCATCGTCATACTCATCACCATGGCGGTTAGGAGGGGCCTCATAAGATGGCGGTCCCCGATATGACCACACTCATACACCACACCATGCATTATATGAGGTCCATCATATCATGGTGGCGCATGTTATGATCATCATCATAACGAGGCAGGCGTTCTATGATGTGCCTCATATCCGTACCCCCCCTGGTATGACCCCCGTCACAACCCGACCATGCGCGGGATGACCTTGCTCATAATCACAGGCTCGTGTTTGTGCCAACACATATGGTCCACACGTTGCGCCTCATAATCGCACTAGCTGTTTTAGCTGGCCCAAGCCTGTTCAGGCGAGTAGTTCTTTGGCGTTTGAGTTCGTACTGGTGCAATTTCTTTTTCGACATATGGAGGCAGCACTGAAGGTGCTGATGCAAAATGTGTCGCCAGAGACCTTGTTGGCGGCGGCATCGGCCATGAAGACCGCCTCGGGCGGCTCTGGCTCTGGGGGTGAGCCGCCGCCTGGAGGGTCTGCGGGCTCCGCGCCCGCGGCGCCGCTGGCCTCGCCGGATTCGCCCGTGGGCGTGGCGACCGCGGCGCCCGCCGTGGCGCATGCGTCGCCGCCGCCTGCTGTTGCTCCTGGTGCCCATCAGGACAGCCTCATTGAAATGACCTTCCGCCCCCGCCCTCACCCCTCGCCCCCGCTCGACCCAGCCAGAGGCCTCCAGTCGCGAAGGGGGCGAGGAGAGGCGGTGGGGAGGGGGCGCAGGCCCCGACGGTCAGGGGCCCAGCCCCAACGGCCCAACGCAGTCACTGGGTGACTGTGCGTGGGGGGGAAGTGGGGAAGCGGAGCGAGAGTCCGATCACTTCTCCCAGGGAGGGGTGATCAGAGACTGGCTCCGCTTCCCCCAGGCGCCCCTCGCATATACCGCATATACCCCCTTCCCATTCTCTCTTACCCGACCCCCTCCTCCCGCATCCCTCACTCCTCGAGTCCTTGAGTCCTCCTTCCTTCCTCCTCCGCACTTCCCTCCACCTCCACTTCTTTTTAAGTGTTTTTTTGTCGGCCCTGATCGGCGCCCAGTGGCACTCTTACCTTATCCTTCCACAGGCTCTGCAGGATAGCTTCGAGAACCTCGAGGGCTCCATGCGCCTGGACTGGGTGATCAATAAGTGGGAGGTGAAGGGCTTGGAGCGCAGGGTCCTCCCGTACGACTCCAAGGGCGAGCAACAGATCTTCAGGGCGAAGGTCAACCAGCGCAAGCAGATGACGGCTTCACGGGCCTACGCGAAGAGCTCCCTCGCGAATGGCATCGTGACTGGCGGCGTCGCTGGCTCGATGTGGCTCAAGATGTCCAAGGGCAACGTGCCGCCGTACTGGGCCATCACGTGGGGCACTCGCATATGCGACACCTTCTACCCCATGGCGGCCAAGCATTCTGACAACAAGTTCGTGAAGTATGCCAAGGAGAACGGGTTTTGCAACGTCATCTTGTTGTCCGCCGACATCGACCCGAAACACGAGGAGTGGATGAAGACGTACCACAACAAGTTCCACGGTGGCAGCGAGGTTACGTTCGACGAGGTGGTCAACGACGCCTTGGAGCTTCGCAGCATGTGGTGTGCGCACGCCTATGACTCTGGATTGATCGAGCGCTCCCGTGACCAGGAGGAGGATGGATATTTATCTAAGATGTGGAATTTCCTTAAGGACCAGCCCAAAGCTTCGCATTTCGAAGGGCACAATAACAAGTTCTTGAAAGCAGGCCGCCTTGGTGACAAATTGGTGAAGCTCAAGGTCAAGGACTCCGTGAGTGAGATGCTTGGCGAGTACTGCGACTACCTGAACAAAGATTTCCATATCCATGCCGTCATCGGCAACATGCACGACGTGGTGAAGATAATCATGCTCAGGCTTGTGGCCCAGTAGTGGGGGGGGAAAGGGGGAAGGGCAACGAGAAGTCGCGGCTGTGTGCCGCCCTCTTTTATGATTGTGCCGCCTTCTGCTGAGGCAAAACGCTTGCCGTCTTGCGCAGGTGAAACAACGGCAGACCACACAACATAAATGGTTACCATTCCGCTGTAGTGGAAGCCCACCCCCCTTGTTGCCCTTCTACCCGCTCCTCCTCCACTCGGCGCCTGCCAGGCTGAAGGACTCCACGCCAGAGAAGCTCATTGCGAACCTCGTGTACGAGTCGATGAAATTCATCGCCCCCTTGGCCAGCGACGACGACGACATCAAGACGCCGTGGGTATTCGCTCCGAAGGCGCCCATCAGCCTTCAGCACTTGCTTGACCTGCTGGTCTACCCCGTCGAGGGGGCGAAGGTGCTCAGCCTCATTTCCGTGCCGCCTGTCACGAGCGAGGAGGCCAAGGCGAAGGCGACGGCCGCGCCGAAGAAGGGCCCGAAGCGCAGGAAGCTCCAGCAGATGGGCGACTCCGTCGAGCCGCCCAAGAAGCCTGCTACCGACACTTTCGGTCAGCGTGTGCTTGCATTGTAAATCTCCTCCACCGCCCCCGTCGCAGTCCCGATCCAACCCCACATCCTCCGACATCCTCCTGAATGCCTTCCGCCTACAGCTCATCCTCCTCCTCATCCTCTTCCTCCTCCTCCTCCGTCAGAGCTCATAGCCATCCTGATCATAAGCCTCGTATGCTTATTCCTCATCCCTCCTTCCCTCCTTCCCCTCATCATGCCAATCACGGTATTCCCCCAGCACCCTTCCCCATCGTCCCTCTTCTCCTCGTCTTCCCTTCCCATTCCCCACTTCCCCACTCCCCCCCTTTCCCATCCTCCTCCTCCTCCTCCTCCTCCTCCTCCTCCTCCTCCTCCTCCTCCTCCTCTTACTCCCCCCATCCTCTGTCGCCTCCCCATCCCCCTGTAAACCTTGCCACCTTCCTCAGATCCATCGGGTAAGACTGCGATCGACGTGGTCGGCTTCTTGTTGGCATCTTCAGTCAGCGCCGATATGCAGTGCGAGCCTGGAGTATCTAGCACAATTTCTTTCGTCTCGTCGGCATGTCTGGAGTTCATTTGGACTGGCAGCGTGACTGTGCATGGGAAGAGCATTACTGGGTTTGCTGCGCTGTACTCGACGGCGAAGCAGATGCTGGACCAGCACAGGGAGGTGTGCTCCAAGGGCAACAGTACTGCTCGGCCGAAGGACGGGGGCCCGGCCACCATGTTTATCGATAGCGATCGGGCCATCATCTCAGAGAAGATGGCTACCTTCATCGACAACGAGGCGAAGTTCGTAGCCCTCAAGGCCTTTGCGAACCAACTGAAGGGCTTGGGCGCGACCGACCACCCTGTGATTCAGAGCACCCTCTTCAAGATCATGACCGACCCGCATCTGACGGGGAAGATTACCATCGAGCGCATCATCGACTATGTTCTCGCTGTCGCCGATCAGGCATTCCCGCCCGAGTGGGCCGAGACAGCGAAGGAGGTGCTGCAGCTGGGCAAGGTGCCATGCAGCGTGGCAATGATATGGGGTGACATTCATGAAGTATTGCGCTTCGGCGCGTTTCGGGCCAAGTTGATGATGCAAGCGATCGCGTTCATGCTCTCGAAGCCTGGCATGACCACTACAGGTGTCGACTCCGCGGGCATGAATAACCTGAAGGCCGAGCTGACGACCAACTGCGACGTCCACATCGACACTGTCGGCTCCCACGACATCAACCAGGCGAGCAAGGAGGCGCAGAAGAGCTTCTGGATGGGCCTCGTCGCGTCCCTTGGCAAGGACTCGCATGCGCTGAGGGAGTTGCCGAAGTGGAAGCCACCAGCAGCGGAGACCGCCGATGGCGACGACAAGAACGGCGACAAGGGCGACGCGAGCACCGATGGCGGCCCCGTCGAGATCAAGACTGAGCCACGCGACGACAAGGGCGCCGCTATTGTGCGTGCAGGTGCCCCTGGTTCCGCGGCCAAGGAAACCAAGGTGCTCGTGACGGAGGTCGTGACGCTGTCGGATCTCTACTCCTTCAGGATGACGGGGCTGACCATCGACGTGCCTTACGTGAAGATGATCGAGGCGGAGGCCGAGAAGCAGATTTGGACGTTCTACAAAAGCCACTCGAGCAATTGGAGCAATATCAAGGTGTGCTTTCGCTCGAAGCAGCCTACTCTACAGGTTGACTTGAGCAACCAAGACCTTCGCTTACCGTTCGCTGGCAGCGTGACCACGCAGCCGACCAAGGACGGCATCCTGCTCGGCGAGTCGTTCGGTCTCCAGTTCTACCTGGTTGGGGACGCGAGCCTCTTCGCGGAGGTGTGCATTCCAGCCTACATGGTCAAGGTCGTCGACGGCGACGCCGAGCCGACGATGGAGGTCTACTGGCACGACTTGCCGCTCAACATTTGGCCCAAGGGCCACCAGAAGTCCCTCAAGGAAGCTTCGGCGAAGACCCCGACTCTCAAGGTTCCCTGATGTTCTCGAAATTGAAACGCACTGGAGGAGTTTAGGTTTGGATGGGGAGGGTAGGGTGGATACGGAGGAGGATGCTTTGGAGCAAGCTGCTTTTTCCATCGGAAGCTTCTCGGCAGGATCACGATGCTGAGGTGGTGGTGGGGCCCACCACCACCACCACCTCAGCAAGTGGCCAAGGGAGCGTAGTGAGTCGGTGGTTTTCGGGTGCTTGCCGTTTCTGTGAACTCGAGGGGGTTCTCATTTGGATGTCGGTCGTCCCTGGGTAATCGGCGAGGGTCGTTCTGATGTCAATCGTTCCAGGGTCGTCCCGACGCGGTCGGATTTCTTCTGTGCTTTGAGTTTCGCCAGGTGCCAGTGTTGAAACCGACGGTGGCTGCGACGTCTGAGTCCGAGCCTTCTCGCTTTGCCTTGCAAGGCGAGGTTGCGAAGAAGCGGGGCAGGGGCCGCGCCGCCGACAGCGGCGGCTCCTCCAAGCCCGAGCTTCGCTTCGGCGTGGCGGCCTACAAGCATGCCCTCACGGCTGCTGCTTCGAGCCAGGGGGCGGAGTCGACCACCGCTGCCAACAGCGCCTCCGCCTCTGGCTCTGCTTGCCCCGCCTGGCTCGATCCCTCGCTTGTGAAAGCGGGCAAGCACCTCTTGCGCTGAGTCGTCGCCAGGCGTGCCACTCCACTGCTCCTCCGAAGTTGGACCAGTTGGAAGTAAATCAGGGGAAGGAGGGGAGGAGAGGAGAGTCAGGAGAGAAACATAAATCGATGACGAGTCAGATTCGGAGGAGCTCGGAGATGAGATGGCCCAATTGCAAGGGCACGCAAATTTCGTGATTTGATTTTGTGTTTGGCGTTCTCGTTGGGCCGCCACGCCCTGTTTCCGTGCTAGGTATATTGCGAGGGTAATGCAATACCATGCCTCGCCGAACAGGGTCGCAGGCGGGGTGCCTGGCTGCCTGGCGCCCTTTGCGGCGCCCCTTGCGTCGTCGACTCGCGGCAAGCGGCGAGTGGCAGTGCACAGTTACACATATGCACATGCGAAGCGGTGCAGCAATATCTCCTCCTCATCCTCCTCCTCCTCCTTCTCCTCCTCCTCCTCCTCCTCCTCCTCCTCCTCCTCCTCCTCCCCCCACCCTCCTCCTCGATCTGTCCTCCTCCTCCTCCTCCTCGTCCTCCTCCATCCTCCTCATCCTCCTTCGCCTTTCATCGGCGTTTCCTCGTCACACTTCTCGGGACACGGCCTCGGGCAATCCCTGACAAGTGAAGTGCCAGTGATGCTATGCTCGGTGTGCCTCCTGACTTTGTCGCCAGTTTCTTGCTGGCGATACCTGCCTCTGTTGTTGTGGGTGAGTGCCCTCGCTAGCTTCGGAAAGGTCGAGGTGTCCGCCTCGGTCTGATCACTGCTGTTGCTCATTCAGTGACTGAACCAGCCCCGCTCGGAAAGCTTGGAATCCTTGAATCCTTGCCAACCGCCCTGGAATCATTGTCCCAACGCTAAGGCATCATCCTTGGAATCCTTGCCAGCCCAGCGGGCGTCAGGAGCTTGCGTCCGTGGCAATAGCAAGCATCATCGTCATAGGCAGCACCAGCACCATCATCATCATCATCGTCATCAGTAGTATCAGCATCCTCATCCTCATCGTCACCATCATCATCACACTCATCGTCATCGTCATCCTCATCATCGTCATCATCATCATCATCATCATCATCATCATCATCATAGTCATCGGCAATGGTCCCTGCCCCAGCCGCCTCAGCCGTTGGGCCCATTGTGCTCAGTGCCAGTCTCGGTCCGACGTCCCCGCCACCGCCCCCGCCGCGCGCGTCGAGCCGATCGAGGGAACCCCATGCTCCATGAGCTTGTTCGACTGCCCTAGCGTGTGGGACCTCACGCCAGAAGAGCGTGCGCTCAACAGAACGCTCCAGGCTCTCGAAGACAGGAGACGGGCACGGGCCAAGGCGGCGCGAGAGGCCGCCGCAACTGGGGTAATCGCCATTGGTGATGATGATGATGATGATGATGGTGGTGGCGGTCGAGGCTGTGTCGTGAGGGCGACGCTGGCTAAGCATCAGCATCGGGGGCGGCACTTGCGCACAGCGGGTTGAACCCGTCGACCTGGGGGTGCCATGGGGGCCGTCGGAGGGGGGGTGAGGAGTAATGGGGTTGGGGACGCTGGGGATCCCCAGGCTGACGGGATCAGCCGTCTGAGCGCACACGTCGGCCCCCTTCTCGGAAGCTGCCGCGCAACAAATATCTGTTGCATCCTTGCCACACGTGGCTTCCCAAGCTGAAGAAGTCACATTTAAAGTAGATAGTACTTCTTTGATGCGCGTCCGAATTGGATAGACGACTGCGTCGAATATGGGGCCGATGCGATTGGGTAAACAACATCATCATTTAATTGTTACGCATCATGGCACTACATACTGCATGGCCAAAATAGCGTGGTACAGTATACCAGCTTAGCATAGCACATCGCACCATAACCTGTCGCACGATGTCATGTAGTCGTTCAGGGTAGCAGTGTATGGGAAGACAAGAAAAGGAGGGGCGAGGAGGAGGAGGAGGAGGAGGAGGAGGAGGTGGTGAGTCGTTCGGGCCCCTCTGGGTTTGGAAGAGGCAGAGGGAATGGAGTAGGTGGAAGAGGAAGAGGAGGAGGAGGATGAGGAGGAGTAGGAGGAAGGAGGACGGGGAGGAGGAAATGAGGATGAAGGGGGAAGGAGCGAGGGGAGTAAAGGGGGAGGTGGAGGAGGAGGATTGCGCTGTGAAGCTTCTATGCCTGCATCACACGCAGTTTGGCTTCACAAGGCCACAAGTTACGTTGATTCCCAATATAATCTTCCAGGGCTTCCACGGCCAGGAGTGTTTTCGCGGGTAGCGAACGTTTCAAGGACCTGGTAGCTCGAGGAATTCTTTCGAATGATGTGTTTGCTTCTTCTCCCTCCGCTCGGCTCGAGACGCACGCCGACGCCGCTCTTCCCGGCCCGCTCCCTCGCGCGCCAATCATCTACACCCCGCGAGCCCAGCCTAAAGCAGGTTCCAAAGGTAAGGGGAAGCGCGCGAGCGGTGGAGCTCGGGGGGGGCGGCTGGCGGGTCGGAAGCCCCCGTGCCGTTGAAGCCTGCCCCCTAAGGCTGCGTGCCCGCTGTGGGGGTGCAGGACGGCCAGTGCCGCTTCGTGCGGAGCGCGTTGGTTGCGATTTCGAAGTGTTTCGGGGAGTGCAAGAGTAACCCGACTCAGATTTTTAGGCCACGATGTCAGTCAGTCATTGCTCGGGCAGTAGTGCAGCAGCAGGTGGGCCAAGGCAGGACTCCAAGAGCTATTCATTCATTCGCTCCTCCTCCGCCTCCTCCTCCTCCTCCTCCTCCTCCTCCTCTTCTCCCCCCGTTGAGGGAGGAGGACGGGAGGGAACAGGCAGGTGGGTGGAAGGAGGGGGAATGAAAGGCGATGGAGTAGGAGCAGCGAGAGGATATCTCCCGCCCCCGCCGTATTGGGCCTCCAAGAGGATCTCTGGCCAGCTTTGGCCAAAAGTCTCTGCCCCGCCGTCGCATTATCGAAGGATTTGCCCCCGCCAGGCCTGCGCCGCAGACCCAGGAACAGACGCGGGCGCTTGTCCGCGATTTCGGCGTCCGCGTGGCGTTCCCAGGCCCCGGGGCCCAACAAGTCAACCCCGACCTGTCCCGAGGATACGACCCGAGAGGAGGCGGGATGGAGGGAGGGACGCGGTGCGCTGTCTCTTCAAAACGAGGACCCAACACCACAGGATGGTTGGGAAGTAAATCGCCTCAGGCCAGCGCAGATCACAGCAACGCAACCCAACGCAAAGCACACTGCAGCAGCACAGGCAAGTCCATGTAGCGCAGCGCACGCCCAGGAAGCTCCAAGTCCATGTCGCGCGTTCCAGGCAGGGGCTCGCCTTCGGCGCGTCTCGCCCTCGGCGGACGCCGGCGGAAGGCCAGCGGAAGCAAGTCGGCGGCGGGTCCGTCGTCGGAAGGTCGGCGGGAGGAGGCGGGATGGAGAGCGAGGCGTCGATATACTTTGATTCAGGTTTGCAGGAATCGGCCACGTGATGTGGCAGCCATGTTTCTATGAGCCCAGCAGGCCGTAACGCGTGACAGCTCTCCTCTCGTCGGTCCAGCAGAGAAGCCACCCTCAGCGTACTTAGTATGCTTCCATGAAGAGTGCTACCCACAATCGAGGCCGCGCTGGCTCGTTTGTGGGCGGGGCTGGTTTGCAGGTTGGGGGGGGGTCTGCACGCCAGGTGGTAGCCAACTCAAGCGCACATGTCCCTTCATGGGGGTTCGCGTTTTTTGGCCGACGACATGGGCTTGGGTAAGACCCTGCAGTCGGTGACGATCATCTGGACCCTGCTGAAGCAGGGAGGGCCAGGTGGCAAGCCGGCGTGCAGGAAGTGCCTCGTAGTATGCCCAGCGCCCATCGCTCAGCATGCTCAGATCGGCGATGCCGCGGAGATGTGTTGCAGCTTGGCCTTGCGATATCCAGCGGTTAGCTGTTGGACAGCCTCTCGCGGTGTTGCAGCAGGCCTTTCGTATACACTGCTTGGGAAAGCATGCTGTGCTGGAGATGTGGGGTGTCCAAGTCCTGACCAAGCCGTCCCCGAGCAGAGTATCAAACTTCGTGCTCATGTCGTGAATGATTTGCCTTGTGAGCGAAGTTGCGAGAGGGTTGCCATGATGTGGGGCGGTAGGTTCGCCATCCGGACTCCACTCACCGTTGTTGCGGCCCTTCGTGCGGACGTGGCGGCGCCGCGGCGGTGTCGTGGTTGCGCCGTGGAGGTTTCGAGTGGTTACGTACTTTTGGTCACGGTGTCATGCGCGAAACAACACACCCGCAGCACAGAAGTCAATCTCACCGCCAGCCTACCATACACACACTCCTCCCCTGGATATCTGGCGCATTTTCATGGCATGAGTGTCGACCAGCAGTGTCGACATCGACTTCAGAATTCCTTGGCGCGCCCATGAGGTCTTTGGTGAAGAATTGGGCAGCCGAGTTCGACAAGTGGTTGCACGGTGAGTGCAAACACATCGCAGTGTCCGTGGCGGGCCAAGCACAGGCATGGGATCGTGAATACGGGATGACCAAATGGGCCCTAACATCTAGCAGTGCAGGGGATGTGGATCTTTGACGTTCACGAAATACACTGGGGTCGGCCCTAGCGTAGTAGGTTGTTCAGAGTTTGGGGGGCAGAGCGGTCTGACACTGTCCTTGGTGGAGCGATGAAGGACAAATCGAAGTAGCAAACATGATCCCGTGAGTCTCTTTTCGCACTGATTTCTCGACGAGCTGATGTCATGGGAGGGCAGTTGGACGACCGACAACGACGGCAAGTCCCGCGGAAGGCAAGCCAGTAAGGCAGGCCTGCGGAAGCCAGATTGCATTTGCACGGGCCAGCGGCGAGCACCACGACAGGAGGCCGCTGCCGCCGCGCAGCCACGTCCAGCTGGCCGTGCTCAAGCAGGTCAACCCGGCGCGACCCCGATCGGGAGGAGTGTTTCCTATTTCGGGAGCAGCCAAAGAGGGGGGTGAGGACTAGGGGGGGGGGAATATCATGGCGGGGTCCATGAGATCTCCCCAGATTTCACGGTGCCATTCCTTCTTTCAACACGTCCCCGGCACCCCCTTGGGCCGCGCATGTGCCGCCGGCCATGATATGCCCCCCCCCCCCTCTTGGACGCCCCCCTCTTGGCCGTCCCCGACTATTGCTTGGGCGCATTGTGTGACGCAAAGGTGGTGCTCCCTCGGTGTTTCCCTTTGCATCGGGTGCGTTGTACATGGGCGCCCTCGGTGCTACTCTCTATGTTCCACATTTGTGCGAAGCATCTTTCGCTGCGCCCAGTTGCCGGGACATACGCCTTCCCTCTTAGAGGACCGCATCACAGGGGCTGCAATGTGGGCCGCACCGCACCGCATTGTGTAGCGCAAAGGTGGAACGAGACAGAACGAGGGACAACGAGAACATAACGAAAACGGAAAGCACTGGTTAGCTCGAGCCCTGGCGTGTTGCTTCCCGTTGCTTGGCACGTTGCTTGGCATTGTGCGCCATGGCTTGGCATTGCTTGGCACTGCGTGGTATTGCTTCGTATTGCTTGGCATTGTGTGGCGAGGCAGACCGCAACCAAGACCAAGGAACCAATGAGCAATAATCAAGGAACCAAGAGCGTGTTTCTTGAAATATTTGGGCATAATGGGCAATATAGCCCCTGGCCCCCCTCCTCTAACGTAACGCCCCTCCCCCCCGGTGCGCTCCGGGCACTGCCGCCGTGCGCATCCGGATGTCCATCGGCGTCCCCATAGAAGTCCGCATAGTAGCCTGGTCCGCACTGGGAATCTCATGGGGATCCGCATAGGGAGGAGGAGGAGGAGGAGGAGGAGGAGGAGGAGGAGGAGGAGGAGGAGGTGGAGGTGGAGGTGGAGGTGGAGGTGGAGGTGGAGGTAGCGGAGGAGGGAGGAGGGAAGAACGTCGCATTCTAGTATCAGCACTTCTCTGGAGTGGCGTTTAGCTGTCCGCAGCAGATCCTCACCTACGTGCTCGTTCTACCTGTCCTGTGCACGCAGGCACTGTGGTCTACACCAGCGCTGCGTGCACGCGGATGCTGCGGTGTAGGCAGGCGCTGTGGTGTGCACAGGTGCTGCGGTGCACGCAAGCATTGTGGTGTACACAGGCGCTGTGTTGCACATGGTTGCTGCGGTGTTAGCATTCGCTGTGGTGTACACTGGCGCTGTGGTGCACGCAAGCACTGTGGCGTACACAGGCGCTGCGTCGCACACGGCTGCTGCGGTGCACGCAGGCACTATTGTTTACACGCGCGCTGTGGTGCACGCGAGCATTGTGGTGTACACAGGCGCTGTGGGCAGGTCGCCACCTACATACTGCTCGCGTCGTCGTCGTCGTCGTCGCTCGTCGCTCGTCGCTCATCGCCGTCGTGCGCGCGGGCGCGGCTGTGGTGCCGGAGCCAGGAGCCACACGGCGGGGGGGGGACGTTACATTATACCCCCCGGCCCCCCCCTATAACGCCTATTATCGCCAAAAATAAAGAAATGCGCTCCAAAGAACCAAGTCCAAGGAACCAAGGAGCCAAGACCACGAAACCCAGGAATAAAGTCCAAGGAAACAAAAAACCAAGGAGCCAAGACCACGAAACCCAGGAATAAAGACCAAGTGACCAAGGAACCAAGGTACCAAGGAACCAAGAACCAAAGACCGATGAACCACTGAACCAATTACAAGGACCCAAGGATCCACGGAACCAAGACCAAGGAACCAATGACCCACGACCGAGGAACCGATGATCCAAGACAGAGGAATGAACCTGGCGCGACCCCAATTTGGGGAAAGCTTCCTACATCGGCCCAATGAAAGTTCCTGGGATTTTCATCACGACGCTGGCCGGCGGAAGTCGACGGAAGTAAAACGAGGCGGAAGACGGGGGAAGGCCGCCGGAAGGCTTGCCAATGTCAGCGGAAGTAAACGACGCCCTTTCCGAACCCCCTACCCCCGTAGAAGCCTAGCAATGTTGTCTTCCTCCGTGGGCCGGGCGGGATCCCGCCTGGCTTATTCCGCTTTAATATTATAAGTTTAGTTCAGGACGATCAAAATCCCACCCATTAAAAATGGGGTAGACCAAAATCCCGGGCCGTTCACGGATCCCACCATGCTGGGATCGGCTCGAAGTAAGATGGTGCTCATAAGTTGTTGTATTATTGCCGTGTTGGGATCGTCTTGAGGTCATCTTGAGATCATATCCTGGTCATGTCTGGATCACGCAACCATCGCGTGGTCATTATGAGGCCACCCTGGGTGCGCTTGGATCAGGAATGTTGCCATCGGGCCATCTCGGCGTCACGCGTCGCTCATGTGTTTCGTCATCTGCGAGTCGGCCTGAGACGGTCCAGAATCCATGGCGGGATCGCGTTGGGGTGGCATCATCCTGGGTCCTCTGGGCGTTATCGTCCGTGGCCTGAGGCATTCCTGGAAGCATGTTGTGGCCATGGGACGTCTTGGGATCGCGTGCGTGCGAACGCTGAGCACGCGCGCGCGACTTTTCATCATGCCGACGGGTTTAGATACATATTATTCCTCTTGCGAGTTTCCAAGGAAACTTTTGTTGGAGCCAAGTATTGCGTGGGCGCAGTGCTTGGCATTGCTTGGCATTGCTTGGAATTGCTTGGAATTGCTTGAAATTGCTTGGCATTGCTTGGCATTGCTGGGCATTGGTGGGCATTGCTGGACATTGCTGGACATTGCTTGACATTGCTTGGAGAACCCGGGGAAGCCGAGGAACCCGAGGAACCCAGGGTGCTCCGCCCCCCACCATCCCTGTAACAAGTCCATACAACACGCTCTCTGTGCTCTCTGTCTCCACATCTGGAGCATGCGCGGCCCACCCGATGCGCTCCCTCCCCATCCTTGTCAACACAATACAAAGTACTTTTTGGGGCAAAGTATTGAGCCATGTTCGTGGGGCCCGCGAGCACTTTGTATTGTTTTTGTCAGGGACGACGGGGATGTCAGCATATTGCCTGTCGTACGCAGGGCTATTATCCATAAGAAAACAATACAACATACAACTCGCGGTTAAATCAGGATCATGCGCGGCCACCCTGCGATTATTGTCAAATGATTTTTGAAAGGGACAGCGGGGGTGGTGTCGTATGGCCTGCTGTGCGCAGGCCACCAGACACAATGATGGGCATTGTTGTTTGACAAGGATGGTGGGCGCCGACATGTTTCCCGATGTGTGCTGTCACGTGCGCAGGCGCACCTGACACACTCTGCACGTGGCCCGATCGTGGCGCACCTGGCGCGGCTTGAGTATGTGGCACACCTGGCGCACGCGGAGCACGTGGCGCATCTCGCGCACCAGCCGTGCCTGGCACGCTCAGGCCCCAGGGGTGCTTGGCGCGCGTGGCGCGCCCGGCACGCGAGGCGCACCTCGCCCCAGCGTCGCGCACATGGGGTCGGTCTTGGCTCCCAGTAATTGCCCATCCAAAGACGACTGCTGAACATGCTCAGGTTCGGGTTTTACTCATGCGTTGGGAGGGCCTAGACGGCTTGCTATCCAGGGGGTGTTTTGACCCCTCCCCCATACCCCCTCCCCTGGACCTGGACGGGGGGGGCCGCGAGGCGTCAGAGGGTCCATGTTGGCCCAAGATGGCTCCAAGAGGGCTCCAGGGAGCCCAACATTGCCTCCAAGATCGCGATAGCCCAACATGGCTCAAGATAGCTAACAGCATGCCTCCAAGAGGCCCCAAGAGGGCCACAAGACGGATCCAAGAGGACATCCCCGAGAAGCCAAACTCCTCCAACAACCCAAGGGGAATCCATCATGTTGGCCTTCTCGCCACTTCGCTTCCGATGGGCTTTTGAGGCCTCAAGATGGCCCCAAGATGACCCAAGAGAGCTCCAAGAGGGGCCCAAGAGACCCCCAAGACGGTCACAAGAGCGCCCAGTATCGCCCCAAGAGGGCCCCCCAGAGGCGATTCCGAGGGCTCTCAGGAGGGGGCCTAGAGAAAGGACCCCCCCCTTTTGATCGATGGCCTCCAAGATGGCCCCAGGAGGCCCTCCGAAGCTCCCAGGAGAGCCCCAAGAGAGCCCCAATAGGGTCCTAAGAGGAACCCCAAGAGGGCCCCAAGACGCCCCAGAAGAGCCCCAAGAGGACCCCAAGGCCCCCCAGAGAGCCCCAAGAGGGCCCCAAGATGCCTCAAAAGAGCCCCAAGAGGACCCCAAGACGCCCCCCCAAAGCCCCATAGCTCCAAGAAGGCCTCCGATGCTCCAAGATAGCCTCCAACATGGCTCAACACGTTCCCCCCCTCCTCTCTTCGACCGCTCTGTTTCACTATATGCGTGTCTCTGCTTTCCATTTCCCGTCAGCTCTCGTGGGCGGGGCTTCTAAATGGGCTGGCAGGGGTTCGCGAAGCGTAAACAAGTGTGGTTGTGGTTCTTTGTTGTGCCCAGAGAGGCAGGCAGGTCGGCGGGCGACAGGGGCGACAGTAAGAGTTCACACCGCGAAACCGCTCTTCAGATTCAATATGTGTCGCTTCTTCTTGGTGCGAGGCACCGATCGGCCACTTGGACGAGAGCAATGGGATCATCCATAGCCGAAGAAGACACGATGCGCCTTCCGATTGGTATGGGCTGCAACATAATCTGCCATCGCGCCTGCACGGAGTGGGTGTACTAGAATGCTCCTCTGTTGTCTGGCAAAGTTTTTGTTATGTTTGTAGGGCCGATCCCCCCTACTCGCGCGCATCGTTTGAATCCCCCCCCTCCCTCTGGATTTGCTCTCCGGTGTTTTGGGGTATCTCCAGACGGCTCCAAGGCAGCCAAACACCGCTCCAAGGCAGCCAATATCGCCCCAAGACGGCCTGAACGATTTCCAAGACAGTCCCACTATTGCTCAAGAGTGTATCGAGTCGGTCCTGGAGGGCCTCAAGATGGCGCGAGATGTCTTCAAGACGGTCCAACGGGACCCAGAGACGTCCCAAGAGGACTCCCAGAGGATGCCCAAGAGGCTCGCGAGAGGCAACAGACATTATTGTTTCATTCCACAGTTTACTATTTGCTCATGTTGATCTTTTCGAGTTTCTACAAGCCCAAGACCCCCCAGAAGGTCCCCACGAGGGCTCCGAGACTGCCAAAGAGAGGGTCTGAAGAGGGCCCAAAGACAGTTCAGGAGGGCTTAAAGACGATTCGAGGGATTTGTAAGATAGCCCAAGAAGGCCCCAAGACTGCTCAAGAGGCCCCCGACATGGCCCAAGAGGCCCCCAAGAAGCTCCAAATATGGAGCCCACGAAAGGGAGATCGAGCTGGCCTCGAAAGCTTTTCTCTTTAATACTGCCCCAGAGAAGCCCTGCATGCCCTTGAGAGGCCTGGAGAGCCCCCCAAGAAGCCTCCAAGACGCCTCCAAGAGCAGCCACACAGACCACTAAAGACCCCCATGGAGGCCCTGAAGCCCCCGAGAGGCCCTCAAGAAACCCCAGATGAGCCTCCAATGCGCATTGAAGAGTGCAAAAAGAGGAGGCGGAGGAGGAACGAGGAAGAAGAACAAGGAGACCGAGGATGCAGACAAGGAGGGGGTGTTCAAGACCCGTTCCAGGTCAGCCCCCCTGTCTTGACTTGAACAGGTCAAAGCAAGCCTCCTTCCTGGCGCGATGCTGCCTAGTCCCAGAGAAGCCTCCAACATGCGTTCAAGAGGGGGTATAGAGAGAGAGGAGTGGTAAGAAGAGAAGCGAAGAGGATGGCTACGGGCAGAAACGGGCATTCAAGACCCGCCCAAGTTCAGCGCCCTGTCTAAACTTGGGCGGGTCGCAAAGTAAACCTCATTGCTGCTGCGCTGGCACGGTGGCGGGGTGCCCCGCAGGCAGCCGGATATTCTTGATTCATGACACTTATTGCACCAATGTTGTTTTTGTGCACTCAACAATGGTAGGCCAATGGGCGGGGCCTGTGGCCCCTGCCAGTAAATGCTAATGCTCCCCTCACTGACTTCATGGAACTCAGTGGTTCCAAAGCCCCTGGGCGAGAATGTATACAATGACCAGGCAAAGGCCGTCACGGGGGAAACTGTGGTGGGGTGGCCGCGGTCGCTGCCACACGCGGTCCTTCCTCATTTGGTTGCCCTTCTCCCGACGCTTTTCCTGCTGGCTCCGCTTTCCGAGGCGCTTCCATGGGGTCCCGGGTGCTGCGTCGGGGGCGGGGCCTGGGGCCGCGAGGCGGTGGCAGCAACGCTAGTTTGGCGGGTCCCTTCCTCTGCTGACTCTTGCCCAAAGCGGCTTGCCTGACGGGTTCTTATTTGTTTTGGAAGAACCGGTGGATGCGAGGCGCGATCGTCGCTGGTTTCCCCGGGGTTCTTTAGTTTTGTTTCCTTCAAAAGGTGTGCCCTGGGATGTGTTGGTCCTGTTTCCTCACTGCCCGAGCTCCCTTGGTTCCTCGGTCTTGAATCCTTGGTTCCTTGGACTTGGCCCCTTCTCTTCTTTGGCCTTGGTTCCTTGGTTCCTCGGACTTTGCTCCTTGGTTCCTTGGCCTTGGTTCCTTGGTTTCGTGGGCTTGTTTCCTTGGATCTTTGGATCCTTGACATTGGTTCATTGGTTTCTTGGTCTTTGTTCCTTGGCTCCTTGATCCATCGGTCCCCTGGTCTTGGTTCCTTGGGTCCTTGTTTCGGTGGTCTTGGTTCCCTGGTTCCTTGGTCTTGGTTTCTTCATCCACAATTAGGCTTGCCTAAGGGGTTATTACTTAGTTAAAGGTGGTTGGTGCCTCGGATTCTTACGTTGCCCGTGGCTCGGAGGTTCCCCGGGATCCTCGGGTTCCCGGTTCCTCAGGTTCCTCGGATTCCCCGGGTTTCTCGGGTTCCTGGTTGGCCGCCAGTCGCCCTGGCGGAGGGGGTGTATATCTAATAGGGAACAGTGATGAACCTTTCCCCGAAGGGGAAGAGGGGCTCTTGGAAGAGGGGAGAAAGGCATCGTTAGACCGCCTGCGCCCAGAGGGCTGGCGGGATTACGTGGATTTTTCGGGAGGGCCCCTTGGGGGAGAACCCACCGACCTCGACATGAGCACTTTGGCTGTGGATGTGGTCGAGTCGGTCGCCCTGGACGCAACATCGACCACAATCAGTACGAAACTGCCTTCGACGTTCCGACAATTTCTTTTTTGCGATGCGCAGGATATCCCCCAGAGTGTGTCCTCGCTGTGGTGGTGGTCGCCTGCTGTCCCCGCAGCCCCGCGCCCCGCCACGCGCCACGCATCACGCGACCCGCGCAGCGATCCGCCCGCGACACGCCCCCCGCGCACCGCCCCGCGGCCCCGCCACGCGAGCGGCCCCCCGCCCCGCCCCGCGGCCCGCGACCTGCGCAAGCGACCTGCGCGCCCACGCACCACGCGACCCGCGCCCTTGCGACCCTGGCTGGCGGCCCTGGCTGGCGACCCGCCCAGGCGTGCGACCCACGAGAGCATCCCATCGTCGGCCCACCAAGGCACCCCATGGTCCTCCTCCTCCTCCTCCTCCTCCTCCTCCTCCTCCTCCTCCTCCTCCTCCTCGCCTAACTTTTTACCTCTCTCGCATCGCCTTCGTCCAGGCGCGCCAGAATCCAGATGCCGCAGCTTCACCCATCTGGTCTGAGCTGGGCCCGGACGCTTGTCCGCAGCGGTGGTCGTTCATTCGTTTGTTCATCGTCGAAACGCGCGCAACCCGCCTGCGCCCTTTTAGTTGAGAAGCATATGATAAAGTCTGCGCTCTCGGCGAGAGCATGTTTCTTGTGTGTACTCGTCGCTCGGGCGACGCGCATGAGGCGACAGTGAGTACGTTTGGTGGCTCCCTGATTGCCGCTCCCTTGGTGTTGGTGTCACTGCTCGCTCGGCCCCCAGCGGGGCACCAGAGGTGCACCCTATACCAGAAACCATAGCCACAGCTACGTTTTTTGAGAGTCGCCCTGGGGCGCTCACGAACATATCGTGCCACGTTTCCAGGTGGGCACTGGAGAATTGATGCTGCCCAGGTGTCTGGCTGCTTCTCTGCGTTCAAGCACAGCCACGAAGTGAAGGTGCTCATCGCGTCTTACGAGACCTTTCGAGGCCATGCTTCGCAAGTAGCCGAGGCCGGCATCGACCTTGTTGTCTGCGACGAGGCGCATGAGAGGGGATCACCGCCAAAGTACTCGTGCAAGCGCATGGTTATTAGAAGAGCCGCCCCCACTGCCCGATCCATTTTGGGGGAACCCAGGGCACCTGCCACTCCTGGAGAATGAAGCCGCCAAGGATTGGTAGTTCTGTGTGCGGTGCGGTGACCGCGTGGGTGGCTCTTCTGTGCGGTACGATTTTCCGACAAAGTAGCCGAATCATCCGAACCATCGTCGAACCATCGTCGAACACAACCCAAACCTCAGAGGAAGAAAAGGTACCCATACCCCTACCCTTACCCCTCGTTTTCCCCTTTTTGGGTTCTGGGAGGCCCTCGTCGCCACCGCTGGATTCGCCTCGAAATCCTGGTCAGAACGCACCCCGGGAGAGGTCCGGTGAGTAGCGGTATTGGTACGTTTTGTGTCTTCCCAAAATTATTCACACCCATTTGCAATAACACAGCGTCCTGTGGGCCGACCGAATTCATTCTTCACGTGCTGGGCTAACCGAATTCAGCGCAAGAAACGCATACGATGGACCCATAGTCCTCCGCGATCATGTTTTTAGTGTTCACGCTTCCGATACATTCGGCATGTAAGTCGGTTGGATGTGATTCGATGTTCTTCCTCTTCCTCCTCGTCCTCCTCGTCCTCCTCATTCAACTTATCATCATCTTCCTCGTGCAAGTTTTCGAACTCGCAGCCCGTCTGCTTCCATTGATGCTATCATGAGAGAGCGCTGACATTGCCGTATCATTATGTGTGCGACCTCGGGTTGAAGCATCCGCCTGCTCTGATTCGGCCTTCGCACAGGGAGGAATTCCAGGTGCCCCCAAGACAAATGGCCGCACATGGTGGGATTCGCTGCCGTTTGTGTTCGTACAAAGTATGACCATCGCCTACTATTCTTACTCAGTTCGTGCCGTAGGTATTTTCAGGGCACGGCCCCACTTAAATGTTTGTTCATGTCCAAGTCCATTCACATTTACGTCATTCGGAGCAATCCGTATATGCCGTTCACCCCATCCCGCCCTCTGCCCAAAGGAGAGTTGCCTTCCATTCAGATCATGCGTGATCTGTGATGTCATGGCTCGTCGCTGAGCGGCTTAGACGCTCTTCGAGAGCTACCGATGTGCTAAAGGTGCCCGTCCCGCTCGGACTGATCATGGGCCTTGGGGCAGTTCCTTCTACATGCCACCTCCGCACCACCGTTGGTCTCTGTCGCGCTGCCTCCTTCGGGCACTCCCCCGCTTGTGTCAGCGATGGGCTCATGCGGCGAGTCGTTGGCGCAGACGCTGGGCTAGAACTGAGCCTGGGCGGAGCGAGCGAGGTGCGGGGGCTTCGGCGTGAGAGTAAGTCGGGCCGGTCTCTCTACAGGAGGAAAATTCAAAAATAGTCAAATAATAGTCCGGGGACGATTTGGTGACTATGTTTGCCCATTTGGGGGGTCTTTTCTCGCCCAGACTCCCCCCTGCAGAGGGGCACGCCCGACCTCAGCGTAAGAAGGACCCTTCGCCAGAATGACCTGTGGTGCGGGGCGACAGGCTCCCTCACCCCACCCCCCACCAGCACCGGCCTGCGCGCCTGGGCATGGCCCCCCCCCCCCCGCGGCCCCCCCGAGGCCGCGCGCCAAAGGTCACTCTTGCCCAGAGTCGCTCTTGCGTGTAGCCGCTCGCTAACAGCCTGACACCCCTGTCCCTACGGCTGCCGTCGCCTCGTCTCGGTGCCGATCTTGAGGGTCCCCTCCGTTTCGGAGGTCGCATCCCCGAGGCCGTCATCGCCGCTGGGCTTGCCAATCTCAGCGGCAGGGATAAGCTACGTTTTTTGATCTGATGATGGCGGTGGTGGTACTCGTGGCCGATCCACTCTTGGGGCTTCACCTGCTTCCAGGCCCTGGATTCCCTACCCAATGGTTCTTTGTCCGATGCCCTCACCCAGGAGGCCTCCCCGGCTGGCCCCGGCGGAGCCACCAGGCCCCCTTGGCTCGTGGCTTCGGCAGGACTCGCCTCGGGCCTGCGGGCAGCGGGCGGCGACGACGGCCTCGACGTGGAGCTGAGTGCCGCCAGCGGCGGCAGTGGCGGAACGCAGCCTGGCTGCCCCCATGCCGCTGCGGCCGCCCGCGCCCGCGACCTCTCCCAGCTCTTCGCCGCCTTCGAGGCGGAGATCTGCTGGCGGCCACGTTGAAAATCCGCCCTTGCCAGCAAGCCCTCGGGCGCGAGGCGAGGAACAGATCCCCTCACCCTGGGCGAAGTTACGCGACCACCTCCCCCCCCCCCCGGTTTCCGCCCCGAGGCGCACAAGCTCAAGAACGACGACGCGGCGACCACGAGGCGCGGCCCAGCCCCGGCCAGGAAGTGATGCGGGCGCCGTGTCGGCGGAGTTCTCGGGTCCTGCGGTAGGGGCGTTCGATGAGGCAGGTGCCCAGGAGGCTCCAGACCCTGGAGGACCCCTCACCTGGTGGGGGTCGGCGGTGATATATCCATGGCCAAGCGTCCAGTGGCGCCCCACTGTCTTGCAGACCCTGGATTCCTTAGCCGAGGCTTCCTGATCCAATGCCCTCGCCGTCCGTAGCCATTTTGGCTCAAGCCGTTCTGGGCTCAAGCTTTGCTTGAGTCTTCCGCGCGCGTCGGTTCAGAGCGGCTTCGCGCGCGGGGGCCAGTCGGTAGATGCAGATTGCCTGCTCCCCTGAGTGCCTCGGTGCTGTTGCCGAGGCGTTCACAGGCCAGCAGGTGCAGGTGCTCGTGCTCCGCGATGCCGACATCGTCGAGCTTGCGATCGCCAAGACCCTGCGTGACGAGGAGTCGTGTTCGGCGCTCGTCAAGCAGGGAGTTGAGGCTACGGTCAAGGAGCAGTTCCTCAAGCTCTTCGGCTTCGGATCTGTTCTCAAGGGTTCGGTGGCCCCGCCAGCCGCCGTCGCCAGCACTTCGAGAGTACAAGAAGCTGCTGGCGCAGGCGCGCTCGGAGGAGCCCCAGGTGAAGCCACCCACCCCGCCGCCAGCACCAGGGTGTCAGACGGTGCTGGCGCGGGAGCCGCGGGTGGCTCACCAGGAGCCCTGGCGGGCTCGGGAGACGCCAGCCCTGGCCACGGAACCGCCTGCGTCCAGCGTGAGCGCTCCAACACGGGAGCAGGCGGCAAAGAAGAACCAGATCTTGCTTCACCTGCAGTTGGACCGCATCTCCTCGCAGCAGGAGGCGCTGGCCCAGGCGGTGAAGGAGCTGCAGCAGAAGAAAGTAAGTCCCTCGCCTCGGAGGGTGTCGGCTCCGGCGCTGGGCTCGGCGCCTTCGCATGGGGACCCTCAAGAAGCGGCGTTGGCGCCGTGTGAGGGCCAAGAAGGAGGAGCTTGAGCTGGAGCATGTGCCCTTTACTGCGGACACACCACCACCTTGGAGGAGGTCGCCCCCGTGGAGGCGGTGAAGACCTTCGCCTCGGATGTGCTCGACGAGGGGATCAGCACTGAAGGCGAAGAAGTGGTGGCTCAGCAGGCTGCCCCTGCCGCCGGCCTTCGCACGCTCAGCAACAAGGAGAAGAGGGAGCTTAACAAGCAGCGGAAGCTGCTCGACGCGGAGCGCAGCCTTCGCAGGCCTGGCTGGGAGAAGGACCCAGACACGGAGCCGCTGGAGGTGCCCAACGCAGAGCACCATCCCGCGGGCCTCGAGTGGATCTGGGAACAACTCGTAGCCAGGGCGAAGGATGAGAAAGCCCGCTTCCCAGAGGAGTGGGACTGAGGGCGCCTTTTCGGGCCAGGCTGCGTTGTAGCGCGGCCTGGCCCCCTTTTCTCTTCTCAGGGGCGCGCTCACAGGTGTTTCTCTCGTGTGCTGCGCGTCCTTGGCTCGGTCAGCTATCCCCCTTGATGAGCTGCGGCGGTAGCGCTGTGGTATGCGAGTGGCATAGGCTGCCAGGGGCCCTGCGCGGCTGCGCTGCGCTTTCGGGGTTCCTGCCTGCATGAATTTCTTTGTGAATTTCTGTTCCTTCATGGATGTGTCGACAAAAAAATGCCCTCGCCGTGCAGCTCCATCACCTTCGGGACGCCAGGGTGATCTCGCCCTCCTCCTCGTCCTCCTCGTCGTCCTCCTCCTCCTCATCCTCCTGCCCCTCGTCCTCGCTGATCGGGCGGCGTGTGCTGACGGCCATAGGGGGGCAATAGGCGTCGGGCTGTCGAGGCTTGCAGGAAGGAGGCCCCAATGGGGCTCCTGAGTGGCCCCTGGGCTGCCACCGCGGTGCACGAGAAGGTGCACGAGAGGTGCCTCCTCCTCCTCCTCCTCCTCTTCCTCCTCCGCCTCCTCCTCGTCCTCCTCCTCCCATTATCCTCCTATTATCCTCCTCCTCTTCCTCCTCCGCCTCCTCCGCCTCCTCCTCTTCCTCATCCTCCTTCCTCTTCTTCCTCCTCTTCCTCATCCTTCCTCTTCTTCCTCCTTCCTTTCATCGCCCAGCGACCTTTCGCTCCAGGAGACGGTGCGCAGGATCACGCTAGCGCTCCACATTTACAACAAAATGCGCGCGGCCGCGCCCGCGTCCGAAACCGACGCGCTGGCGGCTGCCCACGCCCTGGTGCAGCGCTAACTCATCAGCGGGATGGCTGGGGTGGGATTATGGTCAGGGAGGGACTCTCGCCGCTGCCTGTCTGTGCTCGGTGGCGCGCATCGGAAGACCCGCGCCCCCCAGGGTACCCGCACTCCTCCCCCCATCCTCCGCCTCCTCCTCTCCTCCTCCTCGCTGAGGTGCATGCTTGTTCGCTCCCCGTTTGCCGCCCGCCCGTTCACGGACGCCCGACGTTCGCCCTCCCCCCCCCCCACCTCCTTCCCCGACCCCCCCGAAAGCCACCGTGATCGTCTTGTCCCGCGCGAGTGCGCGCGCGTCTTGCCACGATCTCTCGGTTCGGGCTGGCAGGCAACTGGTGGGCTGCTTCCAGGCGGGAGGAGACTAGAGGAGAGGAGTGCGTGGGCTCGTGCAGTGCACGCGTGGAGGCCCGCGTATCCCGAGGCTCACAGGACCGTGGCGCCTGCACGCAAGCGCGCGGCCCGTGACCCCCCACTCTGGAGTGGAGGAAGGGGGCGGTCGCCTGCAGCGCGGGAACAGGACAAGGGCCCGCTTCGCTTTTCGGCCCGCTTCGGCTTTCGGCCCGTTTCGGCGTCGGCCCGTGTCGGCCTCGGCCCGTTTCGGCTTCGGCGTGTTTCGGCTCGGCCCGTGACGGTTCGGGCCGGAGCCAGGACGAAACGGGCCGAAGCCGAAACCGCAACGGGCCGAAGCCGAAACAGACCGATGGAGCCTAAAAGGGCCGGATTTGAAACGGCCGAAGGCGAAACCAGCCTCTTCCTGAAGGCCTCCCGCCGGGACGGGCGTTGGCAGATGCTCTGCCCTGCAGAGATCTTGCGGCGAAGGGGGCCAGAGGCTGCGGCGCCAGGCAGCGCCATCTTCGCTATGCAGGCCCAGTCTACTCAAGCGTGCGGCCATGCCACTCGGATTTGGAGGTCACCAAAAGCCCCACTCCTCCTCTTTTTCTTCTTCCTCCTCCTTTTTTTCCCTCCATCTTCCGTAGCCATTTTGGCTAAGGTTCTGGCCAACTGCCCGCAGTTTCTAGACGATCCCTTCCACCCCTGGTCCCCGTCGCTGCTCCCTGCGAGAAGATGGCGTCCGCCGCGCTCATCTGGGAGTGCGTGAAGGCCCACAACTCCTTCATGCGGAAGAGCCCTGGGGCCGGTAACAAGACGATGTCGGCGGAGCTCAGAGGAGGAAACTGTGCCGATCCCTCTATCCTCCCCGCGTTTTCACTTTTAGGGGGCCTCCTGGGAGGCACCCAGGTGTCACGGCTGGAGTCGCTCCGAAATTCCTTCGTAAAAACGCACCTTGGGAGTGGTCTGCGGATCAGCCAGCGGTACCTTTCGGTTTCCCCAGGAGCCTGGGAACCTCTGCGGCCTCCACTCGTTTAAGTTCAGCGGCATCGCCAACGACCAGGTGCTGGGTCTTGCTCCGACCAAGACGGGCAAGAAGGATAAGATCACCCTCACCACCAAGGCCAAGAAGCCCGCGAAGCTGTTCGAGCCGAAGGGGCTGCTGCTTGAGAAGGGCATCAAGAAGAGCGCCAAGAAGGGTCCCGAGCAGCTGAAGAAGGTCATGGACGCGGGTTTCTACCGCAAGGATCTCCTCGACCTCGCCATGGCCAAGTACGCGAAGATCAGGACTTCCTTCAAGACGAAGAAGCTGACGGTCAAGTCCCGCCGGGCCAAGGCGTGAGCGGATGCCGAGGCCGTGTTCGAAAGAATCCTACCATTCATCATCATCCTCTTGACTGCCCTCCCGCTGCGTCGACCCGAACATTGTTATCCCAGGAGGTTGTTCAATAAGCCCCCACTCTCATGCCACTCCGCCCGACGGCACGTTTCGGCCCCTCCCCCCCCTCCCCCGCGCACCGAACCCACCCGTTGACGCGACAACCCGCCAGACCCGCGCAGGACAGCCGACGGCCCCTTCCCACCCCTTCACGCGGCCCACCCCCTGTGGGCTTCTTGGACGACTCGGAGCACCGTCAAGACGCTGCAGTGAGGAGCACTCTGGGCTCAGGAGGGGCCATGGCTTTCGGGCCGCCCATTGGATCTGGGTCGGGTTTGCGTGGCCGAGGCCCGCCGTGGCCCCCTCCGCTGCTGATTCCGAGTTCCTCCTGGTAGCGCGGTGGCCGTATCGTCCTCTCGTCTCGTTCTCTCGTCCTTACGCTCGGCCCCGCCACCCCACCTTCGGAGTTCTTCATGGTACCACGATGGCCGTATCGTGCTTTCGTCTCGTTCTATCGTCCTTCCGCTCGGCCTGCCACCCCACCCACCCCCAAGGGCTGGACGTCTCGATGCCTCCGGCGTGGCTCTCCGGGGTGCCCCGAAGGGGCGGGCGTGTCGGCGGAACTGGTCTGGGCTCCTCTGGGATCCCCCCACAGCCAGCTGCAAAGCAAGACGATTTTCGAGGAGGAGGAGGAGGAGGAGAAGGAGGAAGACCAGTGTAAACCTACGAGCCATCAACGATGCTGGAATACACCCTCACTCCAAGCTCCCTCTTCATAGGCTTCTACAACGGTTCATTTCCATTGGGGGAACTGCCTCGTTGGAAGGCAACCGCTTGACGACCCTGAAGCATGTCAAAACATTGCTCTCGGAATTCCAACGCCACGGATCAACCTGACTGCTACGTCTTGAAACTCTTGCATGTTTGAAAACCTATGTGCGCGGCGCTAAGGCGAGAGCCTTGTTTTGAAAACGGGTTAGCTTCCATCCGTGAGATTCTTGCACATGTTTAGAACGATTGCGCGCGGCGCTAATTCGAGAGCCACATTTTGAAAACCATCCGCCCTCCATGTGTGAAACTGTTGCCACGGTTCAAGGTTCAGAGTCATAAATGGTAGGGAAGTCTCATGTGAAACGCCCGGCCCGCCCTAAAAACTGGCCTCGGGGGGCGACAGGGAGAAGTTATTAGAAGGAAAAGGAATGGAGGCGGAGGAGGAGGACGAGGAGGAGGAGGAGGAGCAGCAGGAGGAGCAGGAGGAGGAGGAGGCGGAGGAGGAGCAGGAGTAGGAGGAGGAGGAGGAGCAGGAGGCGGAGGAGGAGCAGGAGTAAGAGGAGGAGGAGGAGGAGGAGGAGGAGGAGGCGGAGGACGAGGAGGAGGAGGAGTAGTAGGAGGAGGAGGAGGAGGGGGACGAGGAGGAGGAGAGGAGGAGGGAGGAGGAGGAGGAGCAGGGAGGAGGAGAGGAGGAGGAGGAGGAGGAGGAGGGGGACGAGAAGGAGGAGGAGGAGGAGGAGGAGGAGGAGGAGGAGGCGAAGGAGGAGGAGGAAAAGTCCTGGGCGGCCACCCTCCCTGGGGAGCCCGGGAGTCAGGCCACCCGCAACTCGGGCAGCCGGCACTTGTGGCCCTCGGCCACGGAGAGGACATGATCGCAGGCAGCAGCCAGCATGAGCGTATGAGCCGCAGGCGGTCCGCAGGTCCCCTGGCCGCTCTGTCTGGCGGGAGACGGCGCCGCGGCAAATAGGTGCCGTGACTGCCTCAGCCGCACGAAGGAGGCAGGACGTGCCGACGAGCGCGCAGCGCACGCCGCACTGCGGGAGCCTCGCGCGGTGCCCACCGCTGTGAGGTGCTCTGCCCCTCGCGTGGACCGGAGGGTCCACCGCCAGAATACTCGAGCCGAAAAGCTGGGCCAGCGTTTCTTGACCAACTTGCTGGAGAGGCGGCCCAGCTTCTTGAACACATCCGTACCTGCAGCACTGCAGCATTGACCAAAGCAGTTGGCCCAGGCTTGTTTACTTCTGGGGAACTGGCTCAAGTTTCTTACTGCATAGTTGTTGTATTCATATCATACTTCCGGCTATACATATATATATATATATGTGTATATATATGTATAGATATAGAAATATACGCACCGCCTCGGTGTCGTGCCCTTGGGTCTTGAGGGCCTGTCGAGGAGTGGTGGATGTGGATATCTGTTGGCCCACGACGGCGGGGAAGTGTATCAATCTAGTGCTCTTACATGTGTTGGGACTCTTGCGGGGTCCTCGTCGCTACGGCTAGAACTGCCGTGAAGCCCTGGCCAAGACGCGCTCCAGGAGAGGTCGTGGGTCCATTTTGCGGGGGGGGGGAGGCGGGAGGGCGGAGGTTCAATGAGCATGCCTCAGGCCTGAGTGGGAAAGGTAAAAGCCTCGCCGATGCCAGCATGACAAGCGGCACAGACACACACTTCTAGTAGACGTTCTTGTCAACCGCCTCGGAATGCCCTGAACAATGCTTGGCGGAGAGCTTCCAAGGTAGATCGCAGATCACAAGTTGGCAGGGAAGCTCGCCTCGTGTCCCAGCCCTCGGCACACCCCGCGTCCAACCTCTGGCCCCCGCATTCCCCCACCACGTCGGGAGCATTACTGGCAGACAGACCTTCTCACGGGTCAGGCTCCACCTGCGGCTTTCGCACGGCAACTGCTACATCAGCAGGGGCTGCCTTAGCTTAGGACTCGGGCGCGTGCCTGCGGTAGCAGTCGGCCGTCGTTCGCTTGGGATCGATCTGCGCACGCATCGCTCGTTACGACTCGGGCATCCTAGCGCAGGGGCTGCGATTAGCGCATCGATGCTCGCTGAGCCGCTCGCAAGCCCCCCAGAAAACGGCCACATGAGGGCAAGGAACGGTGGAGAATTCGGAGGCTGGCAAAACTTAGGCTTGTCCTCCCTGTGCTGGAGGTCGTCAGCCCGCCTTGCCGCAGTCAACCGGGCAAACGCACCGCCTTCAAGGATGGGTGAGCCCATGTGCCCCGCCCTATTCATCAGGGCTACGCTTACCCTTAAAGGCATCAACAGTACATTACAATCCTCATCTTGCTCCCTGTGTGGCCTCTCCAGCCACCGCGCTGGCGCTGGCCCGGGGTGCGGCCCAGCGCTTAAAGCTGACGCTTCCAGCCTGCACCCGACCAACAACACCTACTTCTTTTATACTTTCTCCATGAGGCGGTCGGCTTCGCGACAAATATGTAGGGGAGACAGTGCGAGACCAACCGATAGACAGAATTGGGGTGATGATGTGGAGGAGGAGACGAGGGAGGAGGAGGAGGAGGAGGAGGAGGAAGAGGAGGAGGAGGAGGAGGAGTATGAGGAGGGAGCATGACACGGAGAGAGGAGGGGGAATAAAGAACACAACAACGAGGGAGCAGGACGATAGAGTGGGAACGTGACGATGAGGATATATGGGTGAAGACGGCGATGTTGATGATGTTGATGATGTTGATGATGCTGATGATCATCCTGATGCTGATGGCGATGGCGATGGCGATGACGATGACGATAACGATGATGACGATAATGATGATGCTGATGATGATGATGCTGGTGATGATGATGCTGATGCTGATGATGGGGCTGACGATGCTGACGGCGATGCTGATGCTTATGATGATGATGCTGATGTTGCTGATGATGATGAGGGTGGTGGTGGTGATGCTGATGGTGGTTATGAGTCTGATGATCCTGGTGCTGATGCTGATGATTATGATAGTGCTGATGCTGGTGATGATGCTTTCGAGAATGATGGCGATGGTGATGGTAATGCTGATGATGATGATGATGGTGGTGGTGGTGATGGTAATGATGTTGGTAATGATGGTGATGATGATGATGATGATGATGATGATGATGATGATGATAATAATGCTGATAGCGATGATGATGATGACGATGATGATGACGATGATGCTGCTGATGATGATGATGGTGCTGGTTCTGGTGATGCTGCTGGTGATGATGATGCTGATGATGAGTATGCTGCGGATGCTGATGATGATGAGGGTGGCGACGCTGGTGATGATGGTGCTGCTGCTGATGGTGGTGATGATGATGATGCGGGTGGTGATGCTGATGATGGTGATACTGATGATGACGATTCTTATTTCGATGATGGCTACGATGATGATCATATAGATGCTGATAATGATGATGATGCTGATGATGCTTATGATGTTGATGCTGATGTTGATGGTGATGATGATGCTACCGATGACGATTCTGATGATGACGAGGATGATGATAATGATGATGAGGATGGTGATGATGATGCTAATGATAATGATGACGATAATAATGATGCTGCTGCTGATGATGATGATTCTGATGATGCTGATTATGATGATGACGACGATGGTGAGGAGGAGGAGGATGAGGAGGAGGAGGATACGGATACGGGTACGGATTACTCCGCGAAAGAGCTCCACAGGGGAGCTGCTGCCTGGGGTGTGCAGGCAACCGAAGTCGCCTGCAGACCGAAGGAGGTCCGCTGGCGGGCCAGAGGCGTAGAAGCCTCTCGGTGAGGAGGAGGAGGAAGAGGAGGAGGAGGAGGAGGAGGAGGAGGAGGAGGAGGAATGCTAGACTAGACCACATATGTATCCACGATGCTGTAGTACGCGCTCTCGTCTCAAGGTTCCTCCCCGCTATTCCATAAAGGCGTTTGTTCTGTCACTGCGCGATGCGCCCCCCTTGGACGACGAGCGCCCCCTTGGGCTCCATTTCAGGCGGGAGGAGGAGGAGGAGGTTCGAAAGAAGTCGCTTCTTGTACCGCGAGCTGTAAGAGTGCGGAAACGCGCGGCTTTTCAAGTCGAGGACAGGCCCAGCGACGGCCCCTTTTTGAAGAGGAGGCGCCTCCCATCTTTGTGGCCAGTGCATTTGGGGAGAGCTCCCTACTCCTCCTCCTCCTCCTCCTCCTCCTGCCCTCCTCCCCCTCCTCCTCCTCCTCCTCCTCCTCCTCCGTAGCCATTTTGGCTCAAGGTCCTAAGTTCCCCAGGGGACCAAGTGGATACCGCTCCGCTAGTCCGCGGCTGGCAAGACCCTTGCGGCCTGGCAGTGTTTTGCATCGATCCGCGCTCGGGCGGCTGGGTAAACGGAGGCTTTTCCCGTTCCTGGCTGCTCGATCGCACAGTGTCTCTTCCCATGGGCAGCAGCCGCCGCAAGGACAAGAAAGGGTCGTCGACAGGCACAGCGTTCGGATGGCTCCGACACGTCGCTCCCCTCTTCTGCTTCGCCTGCTGCCCGTACCTCTCGTCACGATCGTCGTGGTGCGCCTCGGCCCCCGCCCAGCCCTGGAGGCACCAGCTCCCAGCGCTCCCGTAGCGCTGGTCGCAGCACAGCCCGTGGAGAGGCGACTGGCGGACCGATGTCTTTGGAAGATGCCGACGTGCTGGACCTGTGCCCGACCTTCCCGAATGACGAGCAGGCCGTGGTCGAGTCGGGCCAAGCCGCTCGCCCTGGCGCCCTTCCTGAACTTGCTGCTGGTCCATGGGCCCCTGGGACGCCTGTCGTTGGCCTCCACACGCCGCCTCTCGAGCCTGTTGGCAATGCGAGCTGGCCACCTGGCTCTGACCCATGGGCTGCTCATCTTCGCACCGCCGCTGATCGCCATGATGCCCCTCCTCCACATGCTCCTGGTGACACTTCGTCTTCTGGAGCGACCCCTGGCAAGGCGGCGACATCGGCAACTGATATCCCTGGCATGTCAGACGTGCTCGAGCGATTCAAGTTGGACATTCTTGCGGAGATGTCCCGCGCCTCTGCCGAATACATCGCCAACGTGGTCCGCACGGAGCTCCCTCGCACCATCTCGAACGTCGTGCAGCCCCTCGTCGCCCAGCTCGACTCGGCGATGCACGCGAGGTTCAGAGCGCAGGAGATCTGCATGGTCGAGGTCGAAAAGCGAGCTGGTGCTGCCGAGTCTGCCCATGCCTCGCTCGCAGGCCGCTTCTCGAAGCTGGAGAAGGAGCTGGACCTCGCCCGCGCCGCCCCTCGTGAGCCCATCGCTCGCACGGCAGAGTGGCAGCGGGCCACAGACCCTGGCATCTTCGTCATCACCGCGAAGGAGGAGGTGGGTAAGAATCTGGTCGGTGATGCGCTGGTGGGCTGGATGCAGGCCGCCAACTACGAAGCTGGCAAGGACTTCGTTCTGGAGGGCGACGAGCTCGGCCGCAGGTTCACTCTTCGCTTCAAGGGTCTTGCGGTCACGTGCGCTGCGCGTGTTCGTCAGGCTCATGCTCTCCTTCGAGATGCCCATGGAGTCTGGCGGCAGTTCTCGGCCCCGATGCCAGGCGGGCGCCGCATCCCGATCTATGTCAGTGTCGATCGCAACAGGTTCGAGATCGCAAGAGGGCGCAACACCACGAGGCTGCGCGACAAGCTCCAGGACTTCATCGGGAAGAGGGTCTTCATGGACAAAGAGGCGGGCACGCTGTCGGTCGACTGGGAGGTCATCGCTCGCGCCATCGTCGACCCGTCCGACCCGCCTAAGGTGCAGTGGAATATGGGCGCTCTATCTGATCTCCGCATGGTTCGTGCCGACCTGGACAGGCTCGCTAACGAGCTCTTCCTGCCCAAGCGTATCGAGTGGAGTGGGTAACACGTTCTGCAGCACTGACCAGCTGATCTTCAACAGCTGGAACTGTCGGGCTCTTCTCCATCACCAATCCTCCATCATGGCCCGCAAGGCCGGCGTCCTGCACTCCCTCCTCTCGCCATCCTCTATCACGGCTCTTCAAGAAGTTCATGGTCCACCTGCCGCTGTCGAGGAGCTTCTCTCGCGTCTTCGAGGAGAGGTCGCGGTCTTTGGCTCTGCGG